GGGGGGCAGGAGTGGATCACACTGGCCCCCCAACCCCTCCAACCCCCCCAGCACTCTCTAATGTTGCTGTAACGGAATGAACTCAGGACTCAGTAACGCACTGGACTCAGGACTTAGTAACACAATGAACTCAGGGCTTAGTAACATACCGAATTCTGGGCTTAGTAACGCACTGGGCTCTGGACTTACCCGAGAGCCCGCAGAGCGCACCTGAGAGTGACCCTGCAGAACACACTATAGATCATGCACAGCCCATCTGAGACTACAGTGGGCTCTGCGGGGCCTCAAGTGGGTTGGTGAGTGACAGGTACTCATAAATGTGACATTATGGGTCTGCCAGACAGCACACACTCTCCTAATTTCCTGGCTGATGCCTGTGAAGCACGAATGTTTCAGATATTATTCAATACAGGGAAGAGCATTAAAGGGATGATCACTGATCTCCTCCCACTTTTAATCCCAAATGCCCAGTGATCTTGGACTTATAGAAGAGCAAGATGAGCATAATTGGTACAAGTTGCATGGCTTTTTTTTTGCTAGGTGGCTGCCAAACACATTCTTGCACTCAGTCTGGCAAAACACCCTAGATAGAACACTGTCTTTTTTGGCTTTGTAGTCTGGCATTTCCGTTATTATCACAAGCTGAAGAACCAATAGGTATTTGAATGGGGATATTGGCAGGGGGAGGAGCTTGGCTGCCAATTCTGTTTCTGATTTACGCTAAAATTATTTTGGCTGTTAAATCTGATGGTAAATTGAGACTACTGGGTATGTCAATTAAGGGAAGCAAAGAGGTGCACAAACAAACTGGCCAAGCTCAATCTTAGTTGGAGGTAGCGGTTTTTTCAACAAAATGAAAAGGCAAAAGCGGTGGTGTTAATATTTTATTTTTAATCATTTTTACAATAGTGAGTTTAAATACCTATAAAAATCAATAGATAAAGAGGTGACTGTTTTTCTTTAAAGGTAATGTATAGTGGGTTTTGAATATAATTCTTTACAAGTGTATATAAACACTAACTATGAACTTCTCTTTATTTGTTTCCTTTTGTTTGTTAAATATACCATTGAACATGTTTTGTTATATGTGTTGAATAGCTGCCAAAAACCCTATTGATTTTGCCAAACATCTTGTGAGCTGAGAACTTCCTTTGCTCTTTTGTTTGTGCACAAAGAGGGGTTGTTATGCCAAAGAGAAAAGTAGGACCCACTGTTTTTGTGGTACAAAAAGGGTAAGAGTAAGGTAAAAAAAAAACATAGGTACATTTGTATTTATTGCAGACATGTACAATATTTTTGTTCATTTTGCCTTGAACTAGTACTAAAAAATGTTTTAATAAGCCAGCAGGTGCAGCTTCAAGCTCCCTTTCATGTTGCTTAGGCACAGAAATTGTTGACTTTGTCAGTAGTGACCCATCCCTTATTGGACAGCTTAATCTGAACTTTCAGACCAATAAAGTGATGTAAAAGGAAGGCAGTCACTGTGCGTGCGGGAATCCTTTGTCATCATTTGTAAAACAAACATTGCATAACAGTTGTATATATATAAAAAAAGAGCATATTAAGTAAAAAGTCTATAAACATTTAAAAAACAAATGGTATAATTGACCCAAAACCATTAGTTTCCCTTTAAGGGATGTACACTACTAAATGTAGTCAGTGTAACCGAAAAGATTGCCTGTCTGTCACATACACATTTAAATAGATAATTGTATAGGTATTTTAATATTTGTATGCACGGAGAATATGAAGCTTTATCTAGGTTTAAAGAAGTTATTTTGCAGTGGAACAATGTGTAAAAAGCATTGCTTCCCACACCTACAATTTAAAGCACCTACACATTTCTAAAATGGGAAAAAAGCCTTGTGATGCCTGAAACTATTCTTCTTGCAGATGAAACCTGTGCAGTGTGATAAAGCTTCAGAGGAGTCCAATCCTGTCAGTCAAAAGCTTATTGTAACAAATGAGAGTGACCTACAAGTTGCCTATGCTAAGCAAAGACGTACCAAAAGTGCTATACTTCTCCGCAAAGAGCTTGACTCTCGTAGCAAGATAGCAGCACGGGAATACCTGTTCCACGTGAATGAGGCCACAGCTGTTGTGTATGCGCGCCATGTTCTTGCTTCCTTGTTGGCTGAATGGCCCGATGGTGTCCCACTGAAAGAAGACATACTAGAATTAAGTGGACCAGCGCATATCACATATATTTTAAATATGCTAATGCATCTGGAAGAAAAACAGTTGTGGGAAAAGGTAAGGTGGTTTTGTTAATGTTGTTGTTTTTTTTTGTCCACAGAACTACATTGATAATATTTTCTGCAAGAGAATCCATCTTTTCTTTGTTGGCCATTAAGGAACTTAATGGTGGTGGTGCCTCTCTCTCCAGCCCCCCTTGTATTGTTTTAGAAAAACTGTCACATGACAATAAACAAAAATGTATCAGTACTTGTATCTGTGAGTACTTGGACAAGTATCAGTACTTGGTCTTGAAAAATTGTATTGGTGCATCTCTTAAATGTTCATTACAAAAAAAATCTTAAATCATTCATTAAAACAGCAATGCACAAATCCCAAGAGTTCCGTTTGCTACTTAAAAAATTACAGCTGCCTCCTATCATTTGAGGTTTTCTCTTGTCTAGTCTTGGAGCTGGAAAAGTATTTTACATGTACCGAGTGTGGTACTTGGTATCTGAACATCCCTAGTCTTTAGGAACAGGTGACTATAGGGCAGTGCACATGCTGTTATTGGGACCATTTAAAGGTAATGTAATCCCAAACCTTCTATTTGGTCCCGTATGGTCTTTTGGATAAACTAAGTGAAAATAAAGGAGAAAAAAAACAGAAAACAATTGCAGTCAAAACATAAGGAATGGTAAGCTGCAATATATCACATTTTTGTTCTTGGCTTTATATATGCTTTAAGCAGTGTAACGCTGCAGTCCACACAAGACCATTTGTTGTGTTATATAACTCTTTATTCAGAGACTTTGTAAAACTTAAATAACAGCTTGTGTCTGGATCCATCAGATGTATTAAAGGTTTTGTATTATTTCTAGAAAAGACCTTACTTACATAATTGTATCTCTTGCTAACTCGAAACCTACATTTACAGTAACCATTCTTCTTCTTCGAACAGGTTTTTAAGATTCAATTCTTTTGAAGGCAATGTTGAGATTCACAGATGTGTCTCTGTGTAAATGTATTATGCTAGAGTTGTATGAGAAGCATGTGCTGTGACAAAGCAACATGTATGCAAACCTTTGGCTACAGACAATGGAGGCCATAGAGCACCACAAATAGACTATGCTCATACAGAATTTTTTAGAGTCAGTATTTGCAGAAGCTTAACCCTATTCTTTGCTTCACAACACTTGGGCCTGGCAATAAACTGCTTACTAACCAAGTATTGCACTGTGAAATGGGGCATGCTTTTGCGTAATAACCAAAAAGTTAAAGTGGAAGTTAGGTTAAAAAAAAAATGCAGATTGGAAAGCTCTCTAACTTGGTGTGTAAGTCTCTTCTGCCATAAAAGCTTGACGCTGGCCATCAGCAATTTTCATTTTTCCTGTACACTGAGCCATGGATGTGCAGCTCATTGCACAGGGTAGCATGTGAGATGAAGTAACACCCTTGCGCCCTACATCATCAGAGCCCTACCAAAGACCGGGGCCAAAATGGGAAGCGCCAGTGAGGGAGGAGCACAGTGTTGAAGTTGATTACTTTAGCAGGTAAGCCTGCCATAATGTGTATACTAGCACATTATGACTAAAAGCTGCAAAGATTCATGTAGACCCCAAGACTAAAAGAAGCAGTATGTGCAGGCAACATATGGCCCTTTCTTTTTCTTCACAGCTCTTATTTGATGCCTTTTGTCTATAGCCACAGCTATAAAAAAAAAAAAAAACCTTACCTGAGCTGCTAGTGCAACATAGGAATCTGCAGGAATCCAGTCCTCTTTCTCAGTACCCAGGGTATCCTAAATCCCCAGGTTTACTAGTTTAGAGCTTGATTTTCAAGCCACACTATTGGCTGGTATGCTGCTTATCATAGTGATAGACCAAGTACTCTGGTGCAAGATTTAAGTGTCCACATCCTACAGGGAAATCTGCTCAATGTTTTTCCTACCAGAGCTCTTGATGATTTCTGGAGGGGTCTGCTCTGTTTTTCCAGCAGCAGTTGAGAAGTTTGCTTTACTTCAGGTTTACTTTAAGAGGATATTAATGATGAACTTGAAGGCTACCTTTTATACCAAGGCTTACCTTTTATACCATGTTTCATGTTACACCCATTTTCAGTGCGTCTCCTGAAACATGATCACATCTAACTCCGTATGATTAAGCTCCTTCCCTTTACATTCAACCTCTGAAAGTAATATGTCCACATAGTGCAAAACACTTCTTGCTGCCAAGCATGTTTAAAACCACACGCAAAACGGATACAAAAACCTTCATATGGTGCAGTCAGACCGGATAAAGCATGATAAAGGAGCACTGCACAGTAATGCATCCCTCTGCAAGTAATGGTTTATATTACTACAGTATAGGTAGTCTTTAATGTTGGTTAAGTGTACAATTTAATTACTGTACTGCAGATCTTACTACCTGTTTTTTTTGTTTTCTCATCCTTCTTTTAACAGCCTACAGATATCATTAATTAAATCTTACGCTTTTGCTTTACCAGTATCATGTACAATACGCAGTAGGACACCTTCTTTGTCACTGCTATGAGCTAATTTAATGGTGTCCCCTTGCACAAAAGTAACTGGTTATATTTTCATCTTTCCTCATTTTGGAGTAGTGAGAACAGTCAAAGATGATTTCTGACTTGTTCTTAAGCACATTTACGGTCCATTTTTTATTTAATAGGACCCTTTCAACCACAAAAACACAGCTATGAATACAGTTGGGTAATGCTTCTTTCTAATTTGGGTGCTGAGAGAGAATACTTGAAGTGAGAAAAATTTATATCTGATTTAATTTTGGTTAAATATGTCAATAATCAAGTACTTTATTTTAATTATTCACCTAAAAAATTTACTTGTGTTGCAGATTTTACAGAAGGTGTTGGGAGGCTGTAGTGGAATTATGCTTGGAACAGTAGCAGTTACTGCCTGTCAGTTCATGGAGGAACCAGGAACAGCAGTACAAATGCGGGAATCTAAACATCCTTACAACAACAATACAATCTTTGAGGTAAGACTGTAATCTATAAAATTTTACTGTCAATAGATGTGAATTGTTTTTCCTGCACTCAATTTAAAATACTTTATTCCAGATCCTAACAAAATTACTTAGAGTAAACCTTTCATAAACCTAGAAAATGGAAACTGAGGATATAATAAAAATAATACATAAGCAGAGGTTGCATCTCAAACTGATCAGTAGATCTAGGTATGAGGGCAGCTGAATTTCTATCCATGTCTTAACTTTTCTTGTAGTCATGTTTGGCGTTCATTTGAGTGGGCTACTTAACACACCAGAAAAAGATAATTCACTATTCGTTGTAATGCATTGAACTGCAATGCACAATACTATGTTGCTATACGTTTTGGTGTGCTGCAATGCATATCTATTGTCAAGGTGCTTGGGGGTGACAGTAACATCGCGCCAACTAGTGTAACACATAATACCATGCATTGCAATAATGCATGCTAGTGTAAAAAGACCCTTAAAGTGACACTAAACTCTGGCGTTAAATCTTAAAAATACATTCAAGTACCTTAACTACTAACAGTATCTTATTTAAGTATCAGCTGTAGATCCTCAAATCTTCTCTGAATTTACACTGTCCTTCCTTCTGGAGGGTGGCTAATTTTGTTCCCCCGTGGTCCCTGTGTGTGTTATAAAGTAGTCACCGCTCCAAGCTCACTCCTGTGATGGACTCCAATCTCATGTTTTGTTATCTAATTTGTACCGAGATTGTAGTCTATCACAGGAGAGAGCTCGGAGCGGTGGCTACTTTACAACACACACAGGGACCATGGGGAACAAAAGTAGCCACTCTCCAGAAGGAAGGACAGTGTCGGCACCAATTCGGAGAACAGTTTAGTGTCACTTTAAAGTTTGTGAACCCATTTGAAGTTTCACATTTTTTTTTTTCTTGCGTAAATACTAGCTAAAAGTCCTAAAACAACAAAAAACCCAGGGGTGTCAATTTATTTGAGGAAAACTTCCAGTTACATGTTTATTTGTGTTAAAAGTATGTGACCCTCAAGGATTCTCAGTTCATTTGAAAGGTAAGTAGTAGTTAGGTGTTTCTTTCAATGGGATCATAATCCGGTGTGGATGTGGAAGGCCCTTCCTTATTTAAAGAATACAAATCTGGGTCTCCACTACCAAAGTCTGAGATGAACAACGCAAGTTTTTGGAAGTGTATTATGGCTCAAACAGGAGATTTCAGAGGACCTTGAAAAAAGTTATTATCGTTCACCAGGCTGGAAAAGGCTACAAAACGTTTTGGAAACAGTTTGGATTCCACTAGTCCCATGTCAGGCATGTCATATACAAATGAAGACAATTTAACACTGGTCCCTCCCCAGGAGTGGTCAACCAACTAAGAGCATGGTGTGAAATACTGAGTAGAACCCCAAGGTAACATCAAAGGATCTAAAGGCATTGACCAATATCAATGTTTGAGTCCAACATCAGAAGAGCGCAGTTTTAATGGCAGGATTGTAAGGAGAAAGCCACTGCTCTCCAAAATAAACAGTTTGCTAAAGTCCATGAGGATAAGTCATTCATCTATAGAACATTTCTCCAGAGCAGTCTGTGACCAAAATAGAACCTTTTGGCTTGAATGATAAATGTTTTATGAAAGGCAAACACTGTATTCCAGTGGTGGTAGTATGATGGACCTACGTTGCTGCCTATGGACCAGGAAGACTTGCTACTTCTGATGGTATTAGGAGTTCTGAATTGTACAAGAAAATTGCAGGGAATGCACCCGTGAACTGACATTCAATACAAAGTGGCTCATGCAGCAAGACCATGATCCAATACACTCAAACCAATCTTATAAAAAATGGTTAAAGGTTAATGTTTTGGAATAGCCATGTCAAAGTCCTGACCTTTATCCTATAGATCATTGTTTTTCAAGGACTGCTCAACAGTTACCAGAATCATTTACAGTAGTTGCAGTTATTGTTACCAATGGGGCACAGCAGTTACCAGAAGCAAAGGTTCATATACTTTTGCCCTACAGAAGATTGTGCGGTAACTTTAAATACAGTAATAAACAACCATAATATTTTGACTTGTTTGTTAAATCAGGTTCTGACTAGTTTTAGGACTTTATACAGAAACTGAAAATGTAAGCGGGTTCACAAACTTTAAAGATCTCCAAGATTTTTCAAACGTAACCTTTCAGTGGGGCTACCGCTGCACTGCAAGGGTTAAGTGCTCACTTTTTCGCAAGGGTCAAAAATAAAGAAGATATACTCACCTGATCCTTGGTCCCTGCAGCAGTGACTGTTCACCTCTCTCCCCCACCCCTCTGGCTGTGGTATGTCCCTCAGTGTCTTCACATCTAATAGACCTGTATTAGACGTGATTGCATCACAAATCCTTACACCGCCGGAGCAAGGACTGGTCTAGCAGCCAGACGGGACCAAGGATCAGATAAGTAGTTCTTCATTTTCGCCCGCTAGACAAAACAGGCGGTTAACCCTTGCAGTGCAGGGATAGACCGACTACAATGGTTAAGTTTTAAAAATCCTGGAGTTCTGCTTTAAAGCACCACTGTACTGAAATGTTATGCTAATCGAGTGGCTTCAGCCACTTACCCTTGAGAAGGAGTGGGGGGATTTGATCACAACCTTGAAATACATAAATGTTCCAGCAAACTTGGTGAGCGGGTGTTTACAATCACTGAAGAAGATGCAAGGGCACTCATTGAAACTTTAGGATAATAAGTTGAACCTCATCATACTTAAAGCTGAACTCTGGGATAAAATAAATATTGTCTAAATCCAAAAGTCATTATTCTTGCTTGAATCTTGGGGTGCTTTGTGTATTTCTTCCAGATCTGTGTAGTAATACCTGTGCAGGGTGGCTGGTCTTGTATCCGCCCCTTTTATAGGCTAGGTGTTTTTTCGGGGGGAGGGGGTTGTATTCTATGAAACCAGAACTAGTATGCAGATCAGTAGTTGTGACTTCACCTTCTGAATGCTTGTTCCAGGTTATTTACTTAGAAAGTATTGAATCTAAAGACACTAAGGCCTCATCCACACAGGTTGCAGTCTTCACCACCCCCCCCCCTCCCCC